GGTGCAGGGGTGGACTGGGTCTCGGAGAGAGGTGGCATCTTCACCCTCAAGGTTAGGTTTGCCACAGCTGCTCTCTCTGAGCCCTCCACGTGTGACCTGTGCATATTATCCTGTCTTTCCTTATAACTTATTATGATTCCTTAAACCTACTCCAATTTGTCAAGTTTCATGTTTTTCTGCCAATATGAAAGTGCTTAGAACTGAAGGTGAGTACTTGACAGGAGCGTCAGCTAGCAGTGTTCACTGTAGTCCTCTCGGCAGCTGAGGCTTTCCAAAAGTTTTACAAGAAGCTGAGAGTTAAAAGCACGTGTGAGCACTTTGCCTGGATTGCCCCTCTTTCTCCTTGCTGCTTCACGTTTGTTACCCTTTGGAAGATCTGGATTGAATTTGTTCCTTTCTAGTCCTCTGGTGCCTTCCTAATTCTTACTGACGGTTTATAAGCCATCGAGTCAGTTTGAGTCGTCTCATCTGGTGTTATATTGGTTACTTTGATCTCTTTCAAATGTTTCGTTGCCATAGGATCTGGGAGGCAGGGTTGGCCCAGCATCTGAGAGGCCTTGACTGCAGCTTTGGCTCTGCCGCTGGTCTGCTCGCTGACTTTACAGACCAGCCACACCATCCCACTGTGCCGCAGGATTCCCCACCTTTAAAGGGAGAATAGTGAGCAGTGGGCAGCCTTCCGTTTCGTGCTGTGAAAACGTGTTTAAGCAAAGCAAGAGAAGAGGAAAAGGCCTAGATACCTGGTACCATTCTCCCCCTGTAACAGGAGTCTTCAGGCTTCATGAACTTCTTGCATCAAATGTCTGAAATTTGTCGTCTGATCTAGAAGAGCAGAGTAGTTAACAGATCAGATTAGCATCTATTCAACACGAGCTCTGCTCACGTTCCTAACAGTGGCTTATTGCTTCTCTTTTCCTCAGTATTTTGTAATTTTTGTAACCCTTTATTCCCAAGACCCTGCCTGTCCCCACCCCCAAAAATGCTGCTTATACTCCTGGCTCCCTTTAGATTAAGTCAGTTTGACTGTTTTTTCATCCTGCCAAAGAAAAATATGTGGAAATTTTAATTGGCCTGAACCTTTCCAATGCTATAAAATGTGCCTGCTTTGAACACGGAGAACTAAAATGGTTTTGTGCTGAACCACATCGTGGCCTTTGTCCAGCTACTGCGTAAGTATATACAGAACTTAAAATTTTCATCTAAGCAGTTAGTATCTGTGTAAAAGGATTGTTAATGTGTGATTAGGACAAAACCATGCTTACTGATCTATCTAATGGCAGTTGTAGCTTTTTGTGCCTTCCAGGTGTTTTAGGTAGAGTTAGGTGAGGTGGCTTGGATCAGTCTGTTGGCCTGCCAGCAGCTGGCTGGGCTTAGCTCACCCTGGTCTCAGGTTTGCCAGCCTGCCGAGAGCTGATTTAATTTGCTAACCCAGCAAAGAGCAAAACGCTGAACTGTTTTCTTTTGGGTTAGAGATGTGCATTGGCTTGGTGAAGGGTCCGAGGAGGGCGAGAGTCAGTGTGTGGCATCAGGCAGGACTGCATGGGTGGGAGCTGGGAAGGAGCAGGAGCAGCCAAGGCTCCTCCGTGGGCAGCTCTGCTGTCTCAGGTAACTTCTCCCTCGTGCAGGTTAGGATGCAGGTTAGCTGTCTGCAGCGGTCTTTCTCCATCTTTGCAGATGCTATAGCACTACTGGGAAGGACACTGACATCCAGCAACTGCAGCAGAAATGATACATGTGATATTGGCCCTGGGTTTCACCAGCTGTCAGAAAGAGCAGGCAGAAACTCTTAATTTTCAGAGTTCAGATGAGTCCTTTTTATTTGCCACTCTTTGCTCCTGTACTGGTTGTCTGCATCCACTTATGTTTTGCTTAGAGCTGCATGTGTTGGAGTCTGGTGGCCACTGCTTTTTCTTCTCAGTTAATACCTTCCCCAGTTCATCGATGTTATCTTTCTACTAGAGTGTCTTTAAAACTCTCCATCCTCTGTCCAGACTTGAATCCTCCTCATCGTGACAGATGTTAGGTATCCTAATCCCCCAAGGTTTGCTCAATTTGCTTAATACTCTTTTGTTGCATTCTGTGACCTTAGTTCACTGTCTTCTAGATCAAAGTGATTAAGAGAAAGGTATGCAGCTTGACCAATGCGCTGCATTATTTTAGAGAGCGTAATTGTAATAATTTTTAAAGCCTCTTACCTAAAGGCATAATAACGATGTTGTGCTGATGTTATGACAGCACCATAGTGAGTGAGGCTAGTGTCATACAGAATAAACCTTAAATATTATGTCCAGTGCAGCATGCTGATGTTTAGATGTACATACAGATTAAAAAAGGAAAGGTCTTCTTTAAATTTTATAAGTTTCAGATGCATGTGATCAGGGTGGCCAATACTTCTTAGATCTTTGCTTCCAAAGGGAGGAGTGTGTGTGTGACTGAATGGTTCAATATGTATACTACAAGAGTTTCTATATTACTAACTGTTAATAATAATAAAAAACCTCTCAGCTGTATATATGGAGTGGTTTGGCTTGTACCTTTCCTCCATGATTTTTTTGGCTCCTAAATTTGGGTCTTTTTTTCTTGTTTCACTAAGTTTATTGGCCTGTCTGAAGGTGTGTGGGGGCCACTAGATCATCTAGTCAGAAGAACATTTATAGAAAGGTTCAAGCTCTGTAATATTTCCTTGTGTTGATTATTTAATGGTGTCACTTGAACTGACTGGATTGATTCCTATGTTTAGGATTTAATGGAAAGAACAGATTTCTTCTTCATCCACTTTGAATGTCTGTACCTAGCCAAAAACTACGGTAGTAATACAGCAATTGTACAGGTCCTTTCTGTCATGTTGGTGCTGCCTGTGGTGTATGGTGACTTCAGAAGAGCTTTTGAATTAATAAGGACATGGACCAGTATCTTTGTGTGGTGGCACTTCCAGACAGGGTGCATATGTCACCTTTTAAAATGTTCCTGTGTACTTCACATGCAGGAAAATCAGATTTATTTCTAAGTAGGCCTGGAGTCTTGCTATATAGAGCTTGCTGTCTTTTCTATTGGAATTCCTGCCTCCAACTGCAGCTTTCTTGTTGGCGCTTTCTGTCTCAAAAAGATTTAATTCAATTAATTTTAAAGAATAAAATAAATTTAATTGATTCCTTTTACATTTTTAGATCACAGTGCCATTTGAGGAAGAATTTGCCTCTCTGGTAGTGTTTGGCATGCACTTGGATAGGTTTCAATGGTATCTCTCCAACCTTGATGGATAGGACAGTGCTGATTCATTGCAAAAGTTTGCCTGTGTTTTTTTTGATCTCCTTCACTGATATGTAGAAGTATGTGATCCCTAATTTTTCCTTCCCTTCCTTCTCAGCTAACACTTTTTACAACAGCACTTTGATTAAAAGAATTTTTACTCGAAGCTACTTGCTGTGTAAAAAAAATCTGTGGGAACAGATTAGCCAGGACATGGAAGAGTGATGTGTAGTAAATAGTATATCCTGCTGAAGACAGGACTGTTTTTATTCTGTCCTTATGGAGGGAACTGGTATCTTATTACCTGGCACTGTTCTTTATAGTATACTGTAGAACTGGTGATGCATTCACAAATACCTAGGCTATCTTGTGCTTCCTATTTTTCTTATAGGCTTCTCAGCAATCGTAACCTCGGAGTAAAAGCCAGGCAATGATTGGCAGTGCTGCTCTTGTGCCTTTGTTCAGCTGGAAAGTTACATTTCCATTCTTTCTCTGTGCTACATGTTTTTTTAATGGTCATTGATCAGCATATAAAAGTCATGCAGAATGAAAATGCAATTATCAAGAAAGATAAATAGACAGTAGCAGCGGGTTTCATCAGAAACCCAGCTAGAGTGTCAAAAGGCAGGGGGGAAAAAAGTGAAATAAAATTCTAGGATGATGCATAACATTTGACAAGTAAAACTAATGGTTCTTGAATTAAAAAAGAAGGTTCGAAGTTGTGCCAGTTAATGAAAAATCACACCGAATCACTGTTGTAGCTCTGCTCCCTTTTTAGGATAGAATAATTATTTAGCAGAAATGTGCTGTGTAATGTGGTGTGAGCGCTGCACAGAAACAAAATTAGCAAGCCAGTTTCTGAGGTTACTTTCCATGGATATGAAGCAAGTGGTGCAGGCGAGCTGCTGCAGGGGTAGCCTTCCCCTAGCAGGGTGAGGAAGGTGTGCTCCTTGGGGTTCCCCTCCTGCTTACAGGGCTCTGTGGGACATCAGATTTTCCATGCTTTTCCCAACCAGTTTTATTGCTCTGGCATTTTCTGGCCTTCCCAGTAGCACGTCCTCACAATCCTTGGCCCATCAGTGGAATCGGGCTGGGCTCCAGGTTCTAGAGCAGCTCTGGTCCTCAAAGGAAACAATATTTAGACCATGTTATTGAGTTCATCTTGTACCCCTTTGGCTTTCCTGCTTTGCAGACCCTTAAGCAAGGTGGCAGCTGCAAAGAGCCAGAGAAAGCTGGAAGGACCAAAGGAAAAAATCCTGATATAGCCAGGAGGGAATGATTGTCAGCAAGTGCTGAGTTGTTCCACCTGCTCTCCTCACCTTCCTTCCTTCTCTGGGAGCCCTGACTGTGGCTGATAACACCCTGATTCATAAATACATAAAAATTAGCATAATTCATTGAAATCTGGGTTCTGTTGTGCTCTGTTTCCAATGTGGTCTTGTTTCCTTTTCCAGGAGAAAGGGAATATTTTCCCATTGTGCTGTACTGTAGCCAGTATCAGCCTTACTCCCAGCAGGTGATTAGCCTGTGTATTTTGAAAAGTATAAAGTTTGCCTGGTTTTCTTGTCTTCATATGAGACATTAGGAAAAAAAAATCATAATGGTTATTAGTTTGTGTTAATGGTCATATAGTTTACTAGCTGTAAGTATACATACCATAATGCTTATGTGCAAAAACTCTTGTTTATAAGTCATATGGTCTTCTTTGCCCTTATTCTTTTATCAGATAAAAGAAACGTGTTTCCCTAAACATGGGTGAAACAGAGCAGAGGCCAACAGCAGGATCCCGGTTAGGAGCTCAGGAAAATGCTGGGATCAGCACCTTGGAGCATGGACAGAAACCACCTATGACACCTCCAGGAAAACTCGTCTCCATCAAAATTCAGATGCTGGATGACACGCAAGAAATTTTTGATGTTCCGGTAAGGAAGTGGAGGTTGGGGTGGCTAAAGATTATTCAGGCATTTCTAAAAATGCATGTTTTCAAACCAGTTCTCTTTATTACAACTGCAATTCTTTGGCTAATGAATTCATGTTGCGGAGAAAATGGCTGTTATATCAGCATTAAATAGATGATGGTGTAATAGAATAACATTAAACAGTGAAGTGACCTGTAAATTACAGTTACTATTCTGTTTCTGTTTGAACAACTTCAGAAGAGGTGAAAGTCCTTGGTGTTTTTTTTTTCTTCAAATATTACATCAGTGGTTTCCTCTACTTTCTAAACAGTTGATATATTTCCTTGGTGCTGTTTTGCTTTTGATCCATAAACCATAGATCTATACAGATTTTTTTCTTTTCCTCTGGCAAGCCCTTAGGATAGTAACTTCAAATCATCAAAGTTTTCACGAATTTGTATCGCTCTTACAGGCACTAAGTGCTCTCACACATATTGAGTGCAAGGAAAGGATCAAACCAATCTCAAGTTTCTCTGTACCCCACCGAAATTAATCTAGTTTTGTACTTGCCAAGGAAACAGTTACTACTGCTTTTGTGTGTGTGTGGTCAGAAGAGTTAGTTTGAATTAGTTTTGATACAAAGACTGATTCTGTTAGTAACCACTAATGATTTTAACATGCCATGCTTAGGTAATTAACATGTAAGGTGGTTGAACACTATTGCTGTTATGAAAGTGTACTGGAATGTATATTTTTCAAAGTCCTCAGGGTTCAGTGAATAAGAAACTGGAAACCCGAGTTCAAATTTCATCCTTTGTTACTTGCATTTTATGTAGCTATGGTAACTTCCATGCCTTCATTGGCTCAGTTTTCCCTTCTGTGAAATGGGGGGGGTGGAGGGTGGGGGTGGTGTTACCAGCGAGATACATAGATCTTGCGTGTATAGCACTCTGCGGAACCGCTTGTAGTCACTGAAAAAGTGTTATCCCTGTACTAAAGATGAAAGAATTCCAATTAGGAAAATCCTCATTGAAAAAAATTTTTTTTGCCTGTTTATAAGGTTTTGTTTGTCTGTCTTGTGTATGTACACACAGATGCTTTTTGGTCTGCTCTCTGCTGCTGTTATCCAACTACAACTGTGTATTCAGTCTCAGATTTTGTTGTAGTAGAAAGTAAGTTCTCTGAACGGGCATGTATATGTGAACTGAACTGTCATCAAGTGAAATGCTCATGTATGTAGCAACTTTTTTGTGCCCTTCAGAATGCCTATCAAATATCCATAGCAAACAGACTAAAATTAGCAGTCTTTAGGTAAACATTGCAGTTCAAAAGTGTAGTTCTAGTTTATCACATGCTAATGAAAGTTGTGCTGCTTATCTTACGTGGTACAAATATCCCTATTATCCCAGAGACAACCTTTTTTTCCCCCTCCACAGCTGCTACTTCACCATACTTTGGAAATGCTGTGCAATTTATAAGAGTTAATAAGTCTATTTAACAAACACTTAGTAGGAACCATTTTGCGATCAGGTCCCTTTCATTAAATTGTTTAGAAGCAAACATAAGTAACGAGTGGATGCAGTGCACGCATATAACTCCAGCTTTGCTTCTGGGAGTTTGAGAAAACAGTATTTTTTCCATCTTCAATATGAGAAGACATCAACATTACTCTTTGTTTTTGAACTTCAGCAACACCTGGAAGACCTGGGTGTTTAAACAACTCTCTGTTCAGATCACTTCAATATGATTATTTTCTGAGGCTTTTGTTTCATAACAACCTCTATGCAAGGAAAGCTCAGCTGGTTTTAAAGTCAAATCTTGTGGTGAAATTTGCAGGATGCTTAGATTATAAAGTCTTAGAGCAGGTTCCTAAAGCCTTTTGTCTTTAAGGTATGCATTGTCAAATGGACCAATACACATCATTTTCAATCTGCTCTAAAAGGCATTAATTTTTTAGTCCTATCTCACGAAACTGAAAAACTGTTAATACATCTAAATTGAGATGTTTATTCATGTTGGAAAACACCATGTTCCCATTTATAAGCTTGCTGGTTTTAGCCAGATTGGTCCAGTATACACAGAAAAAGAAAGCAGCACCATTTCAACAAAAAATTTTTAGGTGCAGCAAGTGTGGCTGTGGGCAGAGGATGTTAAATGTACATGCCTAAGCACATCTGTGGGCTTGCTTTTCAGTGGAGAATTAAAGGCTTTTTGCATGGTTGAAGGTCTGAACTACTCTTTCCAAAACTTGAGCTGCCATGGTTATGAAAATAACCTTCCAAATATGATACAAGTACAAACTGAGAAGGTTTTGTGTTTCCTACAGTTTCAGGAATTTTGCTGGACGATCTTTTCTCTGTTAGCAAATGGACCAAACTTTGAGTGGTTTTATTGCTGTTTGTAATGTGTCTTGTAGGACGATACGAAGTTTGTCATGCCAGTTTACCCTTTGCTCATGAAGTCTGCGTAAAAATAGAAACAGATACTGGTGCTACTTCTTCCTGAATTTGGGGGAGGTAGTGAAGTAGCTGAGACTGTCCATCTGTCTAGTCCTCCTTCCTTGCTACTCCTACAGTTTTCTTTTGTTACAGGTTCACCACCACCACCACCTCTTTAGCTAAACCTGGGAAAAGATCTTATCCATGTAGTGTTTTTCTTGGGTTTGTTTTTTGTTTTGTTTTGGGGTTGTTGTGGTTTGGGGGTTTTTTTGTTGTTGTTGGGTTTTAGGGGTTTTTGTTTGTTTGTATGTTCATTCTTTAAATTATCTTCCAGGAGACAAGATTCAGTAGCCTTGCACTTAGGCAATCCCCTTTCTCCCATCACATGCAGATGACTTGTTTTTATTAGAGCAAAATCCTTCAGATTTCTATGTCTATTCTGTACATAACAAAACAGGAGAAAAACATGACCTACTTCCACTCCTCCCCTCCCACCCCCCAAGTGCTGCTGCCATTCGGGCTGTTTAAAAGTGAACTAACTCTGGTGTCATTTGTCCTTCTACGGGAAAATTGATTCTTTTGGTGTTAGTGTTTTGATGCTATATAATCATACCATGTTTGGCTCATTGTATTAGCTTCTCACAAGCCAAAAAAAAGACCCTGAAAGGAAAGAGAGATCCACATAGCTTCATACAGGCCTGTAAATTATATTTTTTTGCCAGGAAAAAAAACCATAAAGTATATGGAGAGAGTTTGTATGGGAGACTTGAAAAACAGAAGCCACAATGAAGGCCTTTTCATCAATCTTTGCAAATTCAGTGTTGTAAAAGGAAGGGTACATAAGAAAAATCTTATATGCTGCTTGCTCTTAAACAGTATTTCATTGCAGAATTTCCAAACATTCCTATATTCTAAAAAGCCAGTGAAAGTTTGAATAGATAATCCTGGATCTTTTACACACATCCAGTTAGCTGGTTGCATGACTCTTTTCAAGCAAATACAGATGTTTGGGGGAGGCGGGGGAAAGGTAGGAACTGCTGCTTTCAAAAAAAGATTATATTATTTTCATTTTGTATTTTCTGCCTTTAACATAAAAGGAAAGTATAAAATTCATCAATTACCTTTTCAAGCACATTTTTGTCTATTCTGCTATGAGAAGATAATTTATGTAGAATATCCTTCCCTCTTTAAATTTATTTAGCTTTTTATGACTGAATTTCTGTACCTTTAGTTTGAATCTGTTTTGGACTCTCAGCCAAGAGCTGGCTTCAGCTGCAGTTGTAGGTGATTAGTGCCTGAAAATCAGGCTATGAGTTGAAGGTTCACGATCATTCAGCACTTGCAGTTGTTGGTCATGGTGTTAGCTTTATGGAGAGGTTGCATGCAAGTGGAATAGATTTTTGTCTCTTGCTTTTTGTTTCTAATATCCAGTTTGGCTGTATTTACTGAAAAATTCGTTAGGTATGCTAACTGAAGACCGCAGAGGCCCAAAGTACAGTGGTTTGTTTCAGCTAGTGTTTGTCTGAGTTATGACTATGTGATAGAACGAGCAAATGCGGTGCCTTTCTGCTAGGTAAGAGGACAACAGCTTTAGCTAAAATGACTAATGTGAAGGGGGAAGAACGTTTTTTTCACCCTTGTACACATAATGATAATCATATATAGATAGGTCTTGGGCATTATGAAAGGTTGACACTTCTACCATAAGACTTGTGAAACCCAACACTGTTGTGTTTTATACACATATGTTGTGTATTATACAAGAGAGGGTGGAGATGCACAGTTCTGCTTGATTTTGCTCTGGTTTTATTTCTACCAGTCTCATCTAAGTTAGTTGGAAGAGAATGGGATTGATTCCATAAAACCATAGTAAAACTTACAGATTTTCTTATGTTTGTTTTAATACGGTCTCCCCTGTAGATTCAAACCAGTTTAAGTAAAAAAGAAATACAGTTTTTAAGGAATAGTAAAAATAACTGATGGTTGTATCTACTGCAGATCATTCTGGGAGAGAAAACCCTTTAATGTTTAGTGTCTATGCCATTTATATTATATTTAGTTTTATAGTTGTTTCAGTGCCAGAAGTAATCTGCTTTAAAACTACTCCTAAGCAAAAAGTCAGAGTTGTTCCTTTCTAGGTAATGCTGAAGACATGACTGATTTTCACGTTGGACTGCTGGGATGATTTGGTGACTCAGACCAGGTTTAACCCTGACTGACATGATGCTTGTCACTGATCATACCCTACTCTCTGGCTGAATGACACTGATGTGACTGGAATGATGCTACTGATGCTAAATAGAAAGTCAGAGTTGTTTCTTTCCTGTTAACATCAAAGGTGAGATCAAAGTATATCACAGGAGGTGAGGATTCTTCTTTTGGTTAGGATCCCGTCTCTTTAATTAAAACCAAACCAAAGTCCTCTTTATTGTGTCTGGAAGAAAATAGTTGCTTCCTTTCTGTGGCTGTCTTTTGGAAAGACGAAAACATACTTGCCTGTCAGATTACTCAAGTTTATTAAACATCTGTTTTGTGTCTTATGTAAACTTTCTTTCCCTCTGAATGCGTTCAAGCTTTTTGAAATAT